GATCACTGCGATTCTGATATCATACCCCAAAACCCCAAAACCCCAAGTTTGAGAGATAGGTCTTATTTGCATTTGCATTACTATTTGATTAAAGATTGTATATAAAAGATTGCTAATAAATATAAATATCACAATTATATATTGAGAGAGAAGAAAAGAAAGGATTAGTTTAAGTTTTATCTGAAAAAAGCTCATTGCATGGTTGTGCATGTCTGCAGAGCGCTCTCAGAAGTGTAATTCGTGGACCTTGTCGTTGTTGCCGAGAGAGAAGCGAGCGTTGAGATACTTTCTGAGGAGGGGTTCCTTGGATTCTTTGATGTTCTTTAAGATGGCAGTGTCGACAGATTTCTGTGCTTCCAATCTTCCTGCTGAGACCTCCTTCTTCTAAAAAGATTTAAACTAAGAATCTTATAGTTACCTTTCCGGATTCAGCGAAGAACTTGTCCTCACCTTGTTTCTTGCTCTTCTTTTCTCTCTTGAACAAAGCATCATCAACCTTGGAGACATCTACACCGTTCAAATTAACTTTAGTGCTAGTGGTGATGGTGTAGGCTTGGTTCACTCTCTTGAGGGGAACACCGTTGACCTTGTAGGGTCCAGTAACGAGGAGGAGACCTGAGGTGAGTTGCTTGAGGAAAACAACTCTCTTGCCTCTGAATCTTCCTGAAAGAACGATGAGTACGCTACCTGGGACGAGACCTCTTCTCAACTTGGTGCCCTTGGGCTTGGTCTTCTTTTAGTGCTTCTTCTCGTCTTCTGCGGGATACCAACTGAACTTCTTTACCATTTCTGCTCTCAAACCTAAACAGAAAAATAAGTTAAGGTCTTCAAATATCCATCATACTCTAAATGTTTTAACTATATAATAATAGTTCAATTATTAATGCCTTAGATATATATTAACTAATGAATTGCTATATTAAAATTATTCATATTTTAATCACAACTACTGATTCTTAGCAGAGTTAATATTTTTCTGTACAATTTATCGCCCTGGACCCCTTTTTTATTTATTTTAGTTCCCACTTGTATCGTTATTAGAAGTAAGTGTAATCTATGAGGCGTACTTAGACTCATCCTTTACTTTGCTAATATTCGTATTATCTTATGGGTTTAATTTACTATGCAGAACTAAAGCATTATTTTTTGGTTAAACTATTTGATTTTAATGCTGTTTATTATGATTTATCTAGGTGAGCTAGTTCTTAATTTAGGCTCTTTCAAGGGATTTCAGTGTTTCGGTCTTTTATTGCTAATTTTTATTTTTAGCTGTTGAAGATTATATTGTTTTACTGTTAGAGCTTTATTATGTTTATTAGGTTTCCCTCCCTGCTAATTATGAAGCGTTATCATTTTAAATAGTAGCTTCAAGGAAAAATTTATCTCTAGCTAACCTTACAGCATCAGGAAGCTCAGGAGTAGTTATGTTATGCATCCTTTGGTGATGTATTAAAACTTAGGGTGGTAAACCTTTCAAGACCCAGATATGTCTTAACGCATCATCGGGGCTCATTCTTGTTTCAGGATTCCATTCAAGGCATTTTTCAACAAAATCTAGGAAATCTGGATCTTCATCTCCGATTAATAAACTTAAAGGTTTTCCGCCTGGTATCCTGAGTTTACCTCTAGAATTAGGAAGCATAATAGGCTCATAATCTCCCTTAGTGTTTTCATTAAAGAATTTAGATCTCCTCTGAGATACCTCGTACACTTCTCTTGATGGAATGTTAACCATCTCAATAATCCTAGACATTTAATCATTTTCACTTTCACCAGGAAATATTGGATAGCCTATATATAATTCTGCCATAATACAACCAAATGACCACATATCTATAGCACAAGTATAAGGAATTCCTAACATAATTTCAGGTGCTCTATAAAATCTTGACTGGATATAAGTATAGACTCTCTCATCAATAAACGTTGAAGACCCAAAATCAATAATTTTGATTCCTGATTTATTAGCCTCTTTCAAAAGAATGTTCTCTGGCTTAAGATCGCAATGAATAATTTGGAATTCTTTTAAATATTTTAGTGCGTATAGTAACTAAATAGCAAATCTGCGAATTAAATTATGATCAAATCCATTAAAATCATTTATTTTCAAGAACTCAAATAGATTCATACTCAAAAGCTCGAAACTAATACACAAGTGTTTTCTAAATATAACATAATCTTTCATATGAATCACATTCATTATGTCATCTTAGTCATTTTCTTTTAGAAAATTCAATATTTTTAACTCTATGCCTGCCTGATATTAGTATTTCTTTTTATTTTTTACAATCTTAAGTGCTACCTCCTCTTTATTTTTATGGTCAAAGCATTTTAATGCCTATTTTAAATTAGATTATAAGGATATAATTACAGTTCCGAATGAGCCTTTCCCAATAAAAGATATGACTTCATATCTGTAGCCAATGTGATCATTGATAATTATTTTATAATCTCCTTTTTCATCGTCATAACCACAATTATGCTCGTTTCTAGGGGATCCCTGTACCTTTTTAGCATTAAGTCCCAGATAATAAATCTCTTAATAATCTAAGATTTCTCCCATTTCATAATCTGTTAATTACTTCATAAAAAGTTTCAATGCTTTACCTGGCTTCATCGGAAACTACTAAAATGATAAACTTCAAAAATATAATTACAACTATTTCATCTGGATTAGGACCAGCTTATTAAGAATTTTGAGATTTAAAAGAAGTTGCAGTGCCTACAGGAGACTTTATGGTATTTTATGAGTGATTATAATGTCTTTAATTAAGCTTTGGCTTTGCTTCTGTAGATTAAGGAGCTGTTTTTTGTATATTTAAGGTTTATGTTCTTGTCTATGCTTAAGAATCATTAAACGTTTCCTGCTTTTTAAGAGCATCAATTACTTATTAAGGTTAAAGTACATCTTCGTGAATAAGATCTTCATTATCACCATCCTTAATGATAATCAATTAGATTTGTGTCTGCTAATCTGATTTTTCATCTAACTCTTTTTTCATTTACTCAGTATTTTTCTATTAATATTTAGGTTAATCATTTTATATAGCAAATGAATGATCTTTTGGAGTGCAACTGCTGTCATTTATATTTTCATGTATAATGAGCTCCTCTTTCACGAAATGCTGAGATTTTTATATAAGCTAGTTCGATTATCCTCCTTCTTTATTCATTGTCCCAAGATCTTTCTTTGATTCAACTCTATTCAAGGAATTTTGGTTTTATTACTATCTTTCAAGCGAAGAGTCAAGTGGAATGGACTAATTCTATGAAGCTGTCTCTTATTGTTTCTGCTTCATCATTCTTAGTATTTATCCTCTTTTAATATACTTTTAAGGCTACGATGACTAGTCATTACTAGTTGTAGATACTTCCTCAGGTGGATGTGATAATCTCTTTGAATTAGAACTCATATAGACGTTTTATAATAATTACTAAGAAATGTTGGCTGTTGTTTATGCAGTGTTTCTATTAGTGTTCTCACGAGCACTCACCTTGTTTTAAGGAGTTTAGATAACTGGATTAAATTATTATTATACAATCTAACCACTATTATCAACTTTTACCTTTGGAACAATAAAAGATCTTTTTTTCTATGCTATTGCAGAGAGAAGTGGGGGTTAGTTATTATTTCTAACCTCTGGTGGCTGTTGAGAAATACTATTATTGTTAGCAATTAATATACTTGCTGTTGTATTTGCTCCTTAGTCCTATTAGAGTTGTTGTATTCTTGATTTCCTAGCAGTATCTAGTTTCTTTTTACTCTGATTAATCTTGAAAAGCTTGCTTTCTTTCAGACTTTAGTTCGTAGCATGAAGCGATGCTTACAGATCGTTACTTTATGTTGTAGAATTTAGACTTTTCAGAAGTTATGTTATTCCATATCTAGTCTAAGATTGAGATGCTTCACTCATATTTCCACCAGTTGCATTTAAATTATTTGTATTATTTAACCTATTACTCATGCCCGTTAGAATGGTATTAAGGTTATTATTAGATGTACTGTGACTTTCATTTATTGGATTAATGCCAGAGTTGTTAGTCTATATGAAATTATTTTTCCTTATAATTAATGGTTTTCTCTTTCCTATTGATGGAACCTGACTATTTTCAGCAGGCAAGTTACCAATTCCATTGGTCTTTTTCACTTTGAAAAATTAATTTTAAATTTTCTCCCGAGTTGATGAAACACTATTTTCTCCAATCAAGTTTTATTTTCTAGTAAATTAGAACAGCTATTGCTGTTAGGGGTTTTCTTAATTTTATTTTAGCAATGAGCTGGATAATTCATTTTTACTTTGCTACTTTAATACTCTTATAGATTTCTTAGGATCGTACCTGTTGGAGTCTTAATTTGTATGATAGAAAATGTTGTAAGCTGGAGGTGGTTGGCTATGATTGTTGTAACCATCTTTATTTTCTAAAGCTTCAATACTACTACCATCACCTTCATTTTGAATAGTCAGCTTATTGTATGAATTAGTATTTGCGTCATCTGTTATGTCCATAACTTGATGTCTTCTAAAAGCCAAATGATGAGTATTCTTTCCATTGTTAGTTAATACAGGAACGTTTTTTCTCTATGACTGTATTGTACTTGAACCTCCTCCACCGTTATGATTATTTGCGCGTGACGATAATTTCTATTCTGAATTTGTAGTCTAATAATCTCTAGGAGATTGATCAAATGAAGGATTTACTTTAGTTAAAGGCAATTTATTCATTAGATTTCGCTATTCATTTTTTATAGACAAAATATTTTACCTATGGAACAACATTTTACTGAAGCCCTTAATTTTGTCTGGAAGCTGATTAGCTAGCACTGCTTTAGTTTGCGCCGAACTAAATGCTTTTCTTGCTTAAAACTTGTATTGCTCGACCATTTGACGATCCTGAATTACCTATTTCAATCATTTCAAAACTTCAATAATACCTCTGGAATCAGCAGATGAGTTTTAGATCATGGATGACTGAAAATTATTGCCATTCATCTTCTTTCTTTAATCAGTCTAAAATAGGGATTCGTTAATGATGAAGACTTAAAGAGGATAATTACAAGATTTGGATCGAAAGATAATGGCACAGGATTCCGCTTCTAATTGTTTAAGTTTAGAAAAAGCCTCTAACGTTATACAGAGGATCTCACTGATGCTATTGCATTTATATTGGATGGGGGTAAATTATGATTGAACCCATTCTTGATATCAATATTCATTTATTCTAAATATATTATGATTTAATTAAGAAATCAATCTAATATTTTAATTTCACTAGAGTTCCTTAAGATTAAAAAATGATCATTGATTTAAAGCAGAAAAGGGAAGAACTTAAATTCGATACACCCGATTAGCATATTATTGTGGCAAACAGATTTATTATTGAAAAGAAAATAGGCAGGGGTTCATTTGGAGAAGTATTCAAAGGATTTGATCAAGAAACAAAGACGCCAGTTGCAATAAAAATTGTAAGTCTTGTTCATTTCTCTTTGCAGTTTTTTTATCTATAATTAACTTACTTAATTCAATGATTTTTTAGGAACTCTCAAAAACATTTTAAACAAGAACTTTGCTTGAAGGCAAAATTTTGAAAAAGCTCTAGTCATACGGTAATCAATTAGATTTAGAGTTACTAATTTACGAAATAGATGGAATACCTAAAATATTTTTCTCAGGGACAGAAGGAGATTATAATGTTTTAGTCATTGAATTGCTTGGACCAAATCTAGAGGACATTCTGGGATATTGTGAATCAAAGTTATCCTTGAAGACCGTAATAATGATAGCTGACTAACTAGTATGCCAATATTATATAATTGTACTTTTTTAGATATAAAGGATGGAGAGTGTCCACAACAGAGGATTCATTCATTGAGACATCAAATCAGATAATTTTTTAATTGGAACTGGAGAAAACATTAATAGAGTCTATGCTATCGATTTTGGATTGTCTAAAAGATATGTCAATCCTCACAATGGCGAACATATTTCAATGAAAAAGCATAAAGGACTAATCGGCACTGCTCGATTTGCAAGTCTAAATGCACACTTAGGACTAGAATAAAGCAGACGTGACGACTTACAAGCTCTAGGCTATTTAATAGTATACCTAGCAAAGGGCTCATTACCATGGTAAAGAGTTAAAGCTAAATCTAAGTAGTAAAAATACAAAAAAATCTTTGAAATAAAAGATTCATTCACAGCAGAGGCACTAACAGAGGGCCTTCCAGGTAATTATCAATTTTTTAATCAATATAGAGGAGTTTACTAAGTATTTGAATTATGTAAAAAGGTTAGAGTTTGAAGAAAAACCTGATTATTACAATATGAGGTCATTATTTATCTCACTATTGTTGAGAAGTGGACTTTAGTATGATTTCATGTTTGATTGGATGATTTCCAAGAAGCAACGTCCACTGTATCAAAAGAAAATAAAGCGAAAATTTAAAACTTAATAGGTGAAGGAGGAAAATTAGAAAAAAGAGCGAAAGATTGGCCAGGAGAATAACTTGCAATAAAGCACTTAATTAGAGAATCAAATGATTAATTTTGCGGGAAATGATAATCAAATTTTCAGTCAATCAGACATTTAAAAGAAATTTGAATCAGCTAATAATGTTCCAATTAAGTTAATAGAGAGCCCAAGAAACCAGGCAGAGTCAACGAATGACCAAGACAATAGACTGGATGTTGCATCAAGAGTTTAAAATGTCATTTAACTGTCTAAGATTAATAATTATGGAGATTTATAAGTTATTCCTGAAAACAATGAAGAGTAAGTCAGTCATAAAAGTAAGATAAGTGTTTTAAAATTTAAGAACACTTTAAAGATGAAAAGTGATATTAATGTTGCATAGCAATAAAGGAGATTTATCTTCTCTCCAGTTAAATAAAGAGTCAATCTAAAAGTACCATTGGAAAAGAGGACTTTAAAGTTGAATAAAAAGTATAGATCTGCATAACATTTCCAAGTCAAAAGAGCTCAACAATACTCCCAAAAACTCGTATCATAATTTAGCAATGATTTATCTGTATTTGATGAGCCCTTAGATATAGATGAAAATGTAGAAGAAAACACTTAAAAATACTAGTTTCTGATTCATGGTTCAATTCTTGAATAAGAAAAAAATCTGACTCCTAGTCCTTCAAAACATTTTAGGGTTTTTAACCCTCCAAATTTAGTAGAATTACAAAACCTAAATATCCATACTCAAGAGGGGCATCGCAGATAACGCTCAAAATACTAGAAATAAGCCCTTATACGTAGGCATGGAAAGTCATTTGATAATTCATATTAAATTGATGATGAGAATGATCAGGAGAAAGGGTCTTCTATGTAGACTGAGTATGAGGATGAATATAACGAATGCTTTGAGGAAAATAAGACAAGACATAAAATTCACTTAATTGATACATCTTAAGAAGACTCGTTTAGCTCAGAGGGATCTCAAAAAATCAAGTAACTCGGAGACAATATTCAAACTGAATAGCTCATAAATTATGGGATTAACTCCCAGTTCAAAAATTTAGAAGCCTAACCTACTTTGAAAATAGAATAAAAATAGCCTTTAAGAAATAGCGACACCATTAAAAATTATAGAAGACTATTAGCAGAAGAAGGAGACAATCACATCTTAATTGCTCAAGGTAATAGAATTCAAGAGAGTGATGATGATGAGTCTTACTCAAGTTCAGGATAAGAATCTGATACATATGATCCAATATTGGATGAAAATCAGCCTAAAAAATAAGATGATGAAAAATAGTGCATTATATATTGAGGACCCTTCTTTATTATTAATAGGTCTTGAAATATGAACAAATATTTGAAATAAAATATTTTACTCCTTATTCATAATTCTACAATTAGCGATTCTTAATGAATTTAGTAATGTGGGGTTTTGGGGTTTTGGGGTTTTGGGG